CTGCTGTTGTTGCTGCTTCTTAGCAAAACTGGTAAAAACAAAATTGTAATCATCGAACATAGCACTCTGACAATCAAGACGTTTAAAGCCTTCAATCTTCTGGGGCGAAGAAAGCACAGTGCGACTCTTGGAACTCTCATTAACAAATAAGGTGGTCACACATTTTCCTGGCTTAAAGACTTCCACAACTTTCCCCATAAGGTCATCATAGGAGGTCTGACTTAAGTTTGTTTCAAAGCTAACATAAGAAAATTCTGGTTCTGGAGTGATGTGAATAGTCCAGTAAGTTCCATCCAATTTCATTCCATTCACTGAATACTCACAAGGATTGAACAATGTGGCATCAATGACAGAACCTGGTATCAGGTCACGAATTCCACTCTCACGAGTGACACCCTTTGCAGTAACACCATCTTTCATGTAGAACTGGTCCATAACTGCTGGGTAAAGCTCACTGATCAGCATTTCCAGGGTTTGATCTGGCTGAATGATTACTCGACTCTCTGGGAAATGCGGAGTATGTAAGCACCAACAGTCTGAATTCATACGTCCCATACAATATGCTGCTCCATTTGGGAAAACTGCATTTAGAAATTCTATTTCTTCCTAGAAATTTCAGTGTGGGTACCCTTGGTGAGAAAGCTTCATGAAATTCTTATGAGAATAAAAGAAGTTTTGAATTGAGTCAAACCTACTGTAATCCCTAGCAAGCTTCAACAGGGGAACCAGTGCTTTCAGCAAGAGGGTGGTACCACATGTCTTCAAAATGAAACGTCTCTTGGAGACAAACATGCTACTCTCACCGAGTACATAAGCTTCCTGCTTGTCAGTTTTTGTCACACTTATGATTGAACATTGCACATCCTTCAAAAGTATGTCCCACTCAGATCTTGGAACAGTGCGAAGATCCCCAGATCCTTGGTTTGTGTCAGGTTGCTGCTGGGAGAACCAAACCTCCAGCAGCTTTTCTGTCCCTTCAAAAAAATGTGCAGCTTCCATCACTGTGAGACTAGCCAACAACCAACAACCATAAAAAATCAACTAAATTAAACCTCTTCTCCTGCCACTGCCACCGCCGCCGTGGATTGTTCCAGCTGTGTTATTAAAGTTCAGGTTCCTTTTTTTGCTATAATTTTATATTAACTTTTTTTTTAAAGAAAAGGACTAATAGAATTTCCCCGGCTTCTTCTTGTGAGCGGAAGTTGACCCTGAGTCTGTTGGAAATAGAGGCAGATACAGTTCAGTGTCTTGTAGTCCACTGCTTCCCTGTTAGAGTAGAGCAAGCGCTAGCTAATGTCGGCAGCCATACCATGTAAGCCTTAAGTGATTTTCTTGCCTCAGCCTCCCAAGCAGCTGGGACTACAGGCGACTGCCACAATGCCTAGCTATTTTTTTGTTGTTGTTGCACTTGTCATTGTTTTAGCTGGCCCCGGCCGGGTTTGAAGCTGCTAGCCTTGGTGTATGTGGCCAGTGCCCTACTTAATGAGCTATGGGTGCCATCATTTGTTCTTTTCTTATTAGTTTGAGTTCTTTGGATTTTTGTCAGAAACATAATCTGCAAATATCTTCTCTCATTCTGAGGGCTCTCTGCTTGTTTTACTGACTATGTTCTTGGCTGTGCAGCTTTTTAGTTTGATCAGATCCCAGTAATATATTTTTGGTGTCACTTTAATTGCCTGGGGGTCCTCCTTATAAAATATTCTCCCAGGCCAATTTCTGTATATCATTTTTGGTTGAAATGTCCATTCAGATTCTTTGCCTCCCCCACTCTGTTATGTGGGCTAGAATGCAGTGGCATTATCCTTGCTTGCTCACTGCAACCTCAAACTCATGGGCTCAACCAAACTTCCTGCCTCAGCCTCCCAATGTTGGCATTATAAGCATCCACCACCATGCCTGGCTAATTTTTATCTTGTTTTTTGTAGACAAGGTCTCATTAATAGCCCAGGCTATTAATATTTTTCTATTTTTAAATACTATGAAGGTTGAGTGCTGTAGTGCACACCTGTAATCCTAGCATTTTGGTAGAGGTGGAAGGATCATTTGAGCCCAGAAATTTGAGATCAGCCTGAGCAACATGGGTGAGATCCTATCTCTACAAAAAATACAAAAAAATGCACATGGTAGCATGTGAATCTGTAGTCCAACCTACTCAGAAGGATTGAACCTGGGAATTGGAGGTTGCAGTAAGCTACGATCATGCCACTGTGCTATATAGAATGGATGGCAGAGTGAGACACTAATTCAAAAACAAACAAAAAGGATATTCTCATGAGGGGAGCCTCAGACAACCATGTAATTTTGGGCCAAGATGGTGACCTGCGGTCCATCTGAACCACTTTACACGAGTCAGTAACATCTTGGCAAAGCTTGCTAAAACCTGCACCCTCTACATCAGCCCTGATAGGCTGAACTTCATCCCCTCAGACAAACTGACCAATGGAGGGGTGAATGTGGTGTGAGCTGGAATAGAGCTTCTTCAGAGGATTTCAAGTACAAGGTGTCTCTGCAGAAAATAATGAGATTTATTTAGAGCTAACATCAGAACATTTATCTTTTTTTTTTTTTTTTTTGGAGACAAAGCCTCAAGCTGTCCCCCTGGGTAGAGTGCCGTGGCATTACAGCTCACAGCAACCTCCAACTCCTGGGCTCAAGCGAGTCTCCTGCCTCCGC